TTTTTTTGTTTGGTGTTTTTGTTTTTTTGTGAAGGGCTGGAGTAATGTTGATCAGCTGCTTTTTATCAACTGGTTTTAAAAATTCAAAATCCTTCTTGCAGTTGATGAGTAACTGCATGGACTCTGCTTATGAAATTAACTGGGCTCTAGCACTGGGCCCATTCAAAAGCAGACAGTCCACTGGCTTCCTTTCAGAAGGAACCATGTTCAAATAAACGTCTCCTCCCCTGGCCACACACAGAGAGCAGGGAGCAGCCTCAAGTAGTTGCCTCATGCACGTGTTTCTCCTTTCTTTGCTCTCCTCCCACTTTATTTATTTGCCATCATACAGTGATGGCACCCTTATCTTTTACAGGTGGGTCAATATTTAGGGCTGCTCAGAGGGGACATATTGGCTCCCTCTGTTCTGCAGGCTGCTGTGTAACAAAAGCCGCCTGTTTTCCTGGGACCCTCCCCATCTGCCAGCAGAGCCACAGTTAGTGTCACCCAGAGCTTGGGGATGACCAGTTCAAAGGAAGCTTATTTGGAGACTCGCTGCCGTCTTCCTGTTTGCTAGGAAAGGAAAAGAGCTCTACGAGCCATAGGTATTGGACCCAGAAGGCAGATATGTCATTCACAGCAGATGTTTCTTTCCTGGTCTTTATTTTTTCTCATGATGGCCTCAACACTCTGGTGTGATCACAGCTGTCTGTACAATTATAGTTATTTAAACTCCTGTAAGTTTAAAATTGAAGGTTGCATAGGTGCATATTAACAAGAGTGGTGCTGATAAATAAAAAATAAAGGCAGCTGATCAAAACAGCATTTATAAATTAATGCATGCAATTGGCTTTAATTATTAAAAAAATACATATGTCTGGGCTGGGGATTTAGCTCAGTGGTTTCACTGCCTGCTGCGTAAGTGCAAGGACCCGAGTTCGATCCCCGGTACCAAAAAAAATACATATGTCTAGCAGGCTTCCTCAATAAGGCTTTCTTATGCTGACTATGGCACATTTTTCCTCAAATAATTGCAGACCTCAGCTTTATCATTGAACAGATGGTTTCTATTAATTCCCAAAGAAAGTAACTTACTGCAATTACCCAAATACTGAAAACTTGAGGATTTTAGAGTTCAGCCCTACTACCTTGGGCATGAATTTGTGTGCTACCCACCTTCTCAAGGGATGCCAAGGAAAGGACCCTTTTTGACAATTTCAAGACATTTCCCCCCACCTCATACATGGGCTTTGAAAGTAAATTTTCAAAGTTCTCAGAAATAAGTTAGTGCTAAATCTCTGCTGCCTTGCCAATTTTGCTTTTGTGGTGTTTTTTGTTTATTTGTTGTTTGGTAGCTGAAGGGAAAATTGGAAATATTCTAGAAAAATTTGAGTATCAGATGACAAGAGTTCAAAACTGAGTAAATTCCGGTCATATCATGGGCATTATTACATTTAAACAAATACACTTTGTTTCCTTACCCTATTGTAAAACATGTGAGACTGAATATTTTTGTAGATGCAGAGAAAAGATAAACTGATAGAGAATATTCCATCCAAGTTCCCCAAACCTGGCATTAAACAAAAATGTTTGCAGTGGATTTCTTCAAACTTGTTGGTTTTAACCAAATGATACTGTTTCCTCGATTTAAAGTTTAATCATTGGCTTACTTTTCTCATTGCTGAGACAACATACCCAACACCCAAAGTTAAAGGAGGAAAGGTTTATTTAGCAACAGTTTGTAGAAGTTTCAATCCATAATCGGCTGGCTCCAAGGCAGGCTTGATTGCATGGCAGAGGGGCATCACAGAGGAGAAACAGTTCAGGGCAGGAAGAAGGTAGCAAAGCAAGCAAAGGACCTTAGCAGCTTCTTTCTGCCCCTTTTATACACTGTCTAGGCTACCAGGATTAGGGTGGTGCCAGACCACTCAGTGGACTGATTTAGTAATCACACACCCTTGATCCCAGCATCACGCATTCTACATCCAGCCACCTCTGAAGAACCCCACCAATGACTGCATGAAGCTTTGGGAGGACATCTAGACATAAACCATAACAGTCATTATTCGATAAATTTTTGTTTGAGTGGGCTCCTGTGTGGCAGGCTGATAGGAGATGTTTAAGGATTCTGTCCCTGACTTTGAGGTGGTTATAGTTTGTGGGCACAAAACCATCATGATACAGGATAGCACCCAGGGGAGCATCACTGCGCAGGGAAAGGCATCTGGAAAGAGTCAGTGCAGAGATACAACTGAGCTTGGGCTGGCAGGAGTCGTCGGATTCTTAAAATATGCCCACATGGTGGGGGGCCCTTAAGCAGGAGAGGTTCAACAATCTCTGGTAATTAGATGTTGGCAGAACGCAAAGTTCAAGGGAAGAGCATTGGAAGTTCAAGTGAGACTAGTAGGCTGGGGCCAGATAATGATGCCCTTGGATACTGTGCTAAAAGGAGCTCAGATTTTATCTTCTAGGGAATTCTCCTTGGGGCAGCAGTCTGGAGAACTGAGATTAGAGGAGGTGAGACCAGCCTGGAGGTAGTCTATTGCAGAAGTCAGGGAGAAAGGGGAATTCTCTGGACACTTGCACACTTCCAGTTTCAGCACTGTTGAGAGGAGGCATGTGCATTCTACAGGACGGGGAAGTGAGGAGCAGCAGTGTGGGGTGTGTGAGTCCCCAGGTGGAGATGGCCACATGTGGTGGGGCTACAGCATGGGAGAAAGGCATGGTCTGGCATCGCTGTAATTCCTGAACTGAGAACTCTGCATGCGACCCATCAAACTGTGTCAAGATCAACTTTAACAAATATTTAGCCTTTCTCTCCCTGTTATGTTTTTTTCTTACCTTGTATTCACATAGACTCCTTCGGGTGTGGGTTCTGCTGGAGTTTGATGTATGTTTGTACCCTGACCAAATTCCAGCAGCTTGATACCACACATGGCCGGAAAGCGAGGCACGTTGGAAGGCATCCAGGTTGTCAATTGGTATCGCTCCTGGTACACTTACTCTAGCTTCCTGCGGGGAACCTGTAGCTAGAAAGCTGGAAGCCACACAAGTGCTCACCCTTCTTCTTTAAACAAACCACAGCATCCTCAGAGACTTGAGTTTGCATTCCTACTGCTAGTATTTCTAGTGTACATGGGTGCCTTATCCTCCTTCTAGACTGAAATCTTCTCAATGAAGTTTGTGTATTACCCTCTTTGGGCTCACTACTTTGGCTTCTATATTGCTTTATACAGGAAGTAAAGAATAGAATTTTTACAGGAAGTAAAGAATAGAATTTTTTGTGTCATAGTAGGAGAATTTAAGATATAAGATTTTTTGTATATATATATATATATATATATATATATAGTCCCTCATCAGTTATAAGTGTATCTCTACCCTTATTAGGTAAATAGTATTGTTAATCTGAGAAACCTACAAGTGGGCTTACCCAGTTTCTAGCTTTTAGTCTGAATTGGTCTAATGACAATCATTGAAATAAAGTTGTGCCACACAGTCTTTAAAAATAACATCAGAGCTGGGGCTGTGACTCGGTGAGCAGTAGAGCACTGATCTAGCATGCATGAGGCCCTGGGTTCAATCCCTGGCACCACAAAATGAATGAATGAATGAATAAAAATTAGACGTATTATGTTCTCTCTTTTGCCAATAGGAAAACTGGGCCTGGGAGAAGATAAGTAACCTATCCAGAAACACAGGTGTGAAGAGGTAAAATTGGCGTGTGGGCCCAACTGGTTCAACTTCAACTCCAAATCCTGGGCTTTTATGCATTGCATTGTGCTACTGGCTCTTGTGCCTCTGTTATTTCACATATTCTGCTGCAGGAACTTTTAAATATGTATTATTAGCCTCATTTTCAGATGAGAAAACTGAAATTCAAAACTTTTAGGTTGCACACCAAGGTTATTAGGTTTTCCCCACACACACTTGCTCTTCCTACTATTTGCATGTGCAGGGAAGATGTACAAGGGGGAGGTTCACTATAGCTGGTCTCACTCCCAAGGGTCTGTCACAGGAGCCAGACTCACAAGGGAAATAATAGTACAGGATTAGAAATTATTCTAACTACAGAAAGTAACTTCACATCTCCTCTAGATAGCTCCTGTATTAGCAAGCAGACGTGAATATTTGGAAGTTGAGCTAATTCAAAACAAAACTGAGTATACTTTTCCAAACTATTAACAAGTAATCAAAATAGCTAATTTGAATTTTTCTTTTCCTGTCTTACAATAGTTGAAATGCAATGAAAATGAAAGGCCCAAAGATAGTAACAATGAAACACAGAAAGGAAACTGTCGGAAAGTTCATAAAACCGCATAATTCAGCCAGTAAAAAAAAATGTTTTTCTGGTACCAAGGATTGAACTCAGGACCTTGTGCTTGTAAGCCAGGCGTGCAGCCACTGAGCTAAATCCCTGCCCCATCAGCCGATAAATTTAAAAGCTTTAGAGCCCGGGATTTAGCTCAGTGGTTTTGTCACCTGCTGTGCAAGTACAAGGACCTGAGTTTCATCCCCGGTACCAAAAAAAAAAAAAAAAAAAAGAGTTTTCTGGCTGTGGAAGTCAGCTTGAGAAATTCTCGAGTACTAAATAGAAGACTCACCACTTTCAAAGGTTCTAAGTGAAGAATAATATTTAATTATTTCATCTGTTGCCTCATATATTCCTGAAAACCAGAGTACAGAGACAAAATCAAGTTAGATGAAAAGTTCCTTCCCTTGTATGAATCTGTTTTCATTTAACATTTTTTTTGGTACTGGGGATCGAACTCGGGACCTTGCACTTGCAAGGCAGGTGGCAAAACCACTGAGCTAAATGCCAAGCCCATGCTTTCATTTAAGTTTTATTTATGTCTAATACTCTCATTTTGTCTCTTTATAACATGATTTCATCTATGTTTGATTACCAGTCCATTTCAAATGTATAGATACTGTAGTTTAATTAATGTTAACCATAAACAGTTTTGAGACAGACATATCAATGAGGTGGGAGCCTATGCAGAATATTCACAGTTTATACTTTTTTTTTTTTTTTTTTGACCTAGCATTAGAATTTGAGGTTCTGTATGGCCAAGGCCAGATTCTGAGCCTGTGTAACTCCAGGGCGTCTCATATGCACTCTCAGACATGTTTGTTCATCCATATTTATAATAATTATTTTCTTACATCTCGAATCTTCTTTTCTTTATTGCTGATGAAGAAATTCCTTGGGAGTCAGAAGCAGCGGTGCCATATCTATAGTCCCAGCCACTTGAAGGCCTGAGGCAGGAGGATGGCTTGAGTCCAGAACCTGAAGACCAGCCTGGACAACATAGTGAGACCTTAGAGCAAAACACACATACATGAACAAATAACACAAAAATACCTGAAAGAAAAGAAAGAGAAAAGAGAAGGAAGAAGAGAGAGACAGAGTGAAATTTAACTAACTTGAGGCTGGGTATGCATTTCAGTGGTAGAACAAGGCCCTGTGTTCAATCCCCAATAACCAAAACGGAAAGGGAAGAGGGAGAGAGAGGTGGGGAGTGGAGAAGAGAGGGGAAAATGGAGCGAGGGAAAGAAGGGGAGGAAGGAATTACTTGGAAAAATTCTTTTAGCTGCAGTCATTTTTTTTAACTAGGTCATTCAAATTAGCTTCAAGATAATTCTCCCTTTAAGAATAGTCCAATGTGTTGAGTCTTAATGTTTCTCAAAAAAGTACTAAAACGAGAAACAAATTACCAGCAGCATGCCGGGCAGTGTGGGAGAGGAGCTTCTCCACTCTGCTCTGCCTTGATGACAGGCACTGCCCTGTGCCATGCCCAGCCTTGTGCATCTGTCTGGTGACATCTGGTGACATCTGGTGACATCCAGCGAGGTGTTGCAAAGCCTGCTGCCCTTGTGAGCTCGCTGCTATCCGAATTCAGCATCCTCACCCTTGAAAACAAGGAAGAGGAAAAACAGCTGGTCCTCATCTGTTATAACAGGAAGTCAGAAAGAATGTCTCAAATGTTAAAGTTAAGGAGTGTCTGTATAGTATTTAGAAATATGAGCCTGATGTAGTGGTGCATGCTTGTAATCGCAAGAGGCAAGAGGCAAGAGGATCACTGTGAGTTTGAGGCCAGCCTGGACTGTATAGTGAGTTCAAGGCCAGCCTGGACTGTATAGTGAGACCCTGTCTCAAAAAACCAAAAATAAACAAAAAACAGAAATATGGAAATAAATTTCAGAAGAATCAGCTATACAAGACACAAGTGGTTGCCTCTGGCAGCAGGCAACTACTGTTCTTTTTTATAAGCCTTTAGCACTCACTGTTTTGCTACATTGGTAAAATAAAAATTTTAAAAAGCATAATAATTTTAATGATGCTTAGCGTTGTTCTTAGCATTCTGGGTAGCGAGTGACTTCTGGCCATCTCCTTTCTGGTGGAATTCTATGACAGCACAAAGGATAAAGTGTGGCCCCTTTGCTGGTACGTTTCTGCTAAGGGCCTAAAGTTTGTCCACACTGGGAACAGGAATGGGGGAGACTTGGGCTCACAGGATTCTCAACCCAAAGTCTGAATGTTTCAAGCAGACTTTAATGATAATGAGATTGATGATAGACAACAAACATAACAAAAACCAGCCACCAGATGGAAAGGTTGTTGTGAATAGGACATTGACACAATGCCAGAGAATTATATATAACTATATATATATTGTATATACTGGCAAGGGAAAAGAGCACACTTGTATTTCATAATGGAAAAATCTGGTGCTCACCCACAAAGTCAAGTGATCACTCTTTTTGTTTTCCAGTGCTGCAGGTGGAACCCAGGGCCTTGCACATGTTAGGCAAGTGCTCTACCACTGAGCTACATCCCCAGCCCTTACGAGATTACCCTTAAATTCAATAATAGTAACACAACCTGATTTATTGATTGATATGAAGCAATAGAAACTACACAATGTCAGCAATAAAATCCTCTTTCCAAGAACATTTAACCTAGATCTAAACAACCCTTTACACAGTTCACAAGAAACAGAGGGTGTCTTAGTCCCTTGGGGCTGCTAGAACCAAATCCTTCAGACTCAGTGCTTATAAAAACCAGATTTATTTCTCACTGTTTCTGAGGCGGGGAAGGCTAAGATCAAGGGGCTGGCAGATCCGAAGTCTGACGAGAGCCTACTTTTTGTTTCAGAGATGACAACTCCTCCCTGTGTTCTCAGATGATGGAAGGATCAGGGGCTTTGTCTAAAAAGGCACTAATCCCACTCACGAAGGCCCCACCCTCATGACCTAATCACCTGCCCAGGCCTGCACCTTCCAATGCCATCTCCTCGATGATGAGTTTCAGCAAATGAGCACACACAGTGAGACCATACTAGGCCAGCAGAATATGCTAAAATACAAGATAAACAACTAAACCAGGAGTCTGGCCCCGCTACAGGACAATTGTCCCAACCCTTCAAAAAGTCAGTATCATTGAAAGAAAAATGGAGATGCCACTCTAGACTAAAAAGACAAAAGAGACTGAGCAACCCAATGCAGATGTATGAGTTTGATTGGATCCTGGTAAGGAGGGGGGAAAGCTGCTAAAAAACATTTTAAAGCAAATCAAAATTTTGAATATTTATTAAATATTTGATGGTGTTGTAAAATGCATTAAAGCTGTAGTTTATAGCTACTTTCTTTGACATCATTAAAAAAAAATAAAACTAAAGCTACAAGAGCCACATCTTAATGAGACCTAGCACTGTCACCTCTAAGTCTTCAGTGTCTCTGTTCCCCTAACTCTTCCCACACTTTGCCCATGGGTAGACAGGGCTGTAGCTTCCAGCTCTGCTACCTACTAAGCTGCAGAGACTTCCAGGGCATGCTATCTTTTTTCAGAATTTCATTTTCTTTGTAAGATAAAATAATTACACTAGGCCCATGAGGAATGTGTTCAAGCGAGTTCTCATATGACTTTATACACTGGAAAGGACTGCAGAAATGGGAAGCTGCTTCTTCTTCATCTTTGTTAATCTTTCCTGTCTTCCCTTCCCTTCCCCTTTGCCTTCCCCCTCTCCCTCTTCCTCCATTTCCTCTTTCTTCTTTTTCTAGTACCAGGCATTAAAGCCAAGGCCTTCACGCTGAGCTACATCCACAGCCCTCTATTTTAGTTTTTATTTTGAGAGCATCTTGCCAAGTTAATGAGTTGCCCAGGCTGGGCTCTGGAATTGTGATCATCCTGCCTCAGTCCCCCAGAGTACTGGGGTTACAGGAATGTATCACCATACCTGGCAGAAATAGGAAATTTCAAGCTCTGTTTCTCTTCCTTGGCTCCAAGCGTCCCGAACCTGTGCCTGCAAGAGAGTGTGGGCTCCTGCTATTGGCTTGTACTGGCACAAACTTGGTATTGAACATGGTCAGTTTGGTGTAGGGGATCCTTTCTCAGGGCTTTCTGGCTGAGGATGGGCGCTGGCCAGCTTTTGGGGTTGATACTGGGGTCACCATCCTTTGACTCAGATGGTTCCACCGACTGCCTCGCAAGCGTAAGGAACCGAGCTTGATCCCCGGTACCAAAAAAATCATTCTACAAATTGTATATATAATTGCCAACTTCTCTTTTGTTCTGAGAATTCAAGATCTTACTTCAGCAACCTCGCGGCTAAAACTTTTCTTCTAAGAGAGTGCATCTTATGCCACATTTGTATATCAATATATTTCCTGAACGTGTACTTCAGTGTCTTTGAATCATTTTAATCTCTGGATGAGGCCGTCAGGTGATTTGGTGAGCAGGTGCTATGCTTTGGATCGTCAATGTCCCACAAAGGCTTGATCATCTTGCATTTGGGAGATGGCAGAGCATTTAGGAAGTGGCACCTACAGGAGATCCATGGGCCATCATAGGTGTGCGGAGGAGTGCCCCACTCCCCCCTTGCCCTCTCTTGCTTCCCAGCCCTGGTGTGAGTGTTTTTGCTCCTCGACGTGTTCCCCACCACTGCCAGTGAGAACTTCTCTAGATGCCTAAAAGCAGCGGATGAACAGACCATTGGACTGGAACGTCCAAAACCACGTGCCAATATAAACCTTTCCAAAAGCTAACTAGCACAGTAGATAAAATACTTTGTTTTTGTTTTTTTTGGTACTGGGGATCAAACTGGGGTCCTTGCGCTTGTGCAACAGGCAGCGAAACCACTGAGCTAAATCCCTGGCCCCTGTTTTTTTAACAAACAAAATACCTCTCTTGCTTCTCTCACAAACATATTTTGTGTCTCTTAAGGAAGGTTTATAAATACCAAGAGAAGTAGGGAACTGAGAGAGGGATTGATGGAGGTGAACATTCATGGGCACTAATGACACTAAGGATAAATCTCTTTCAGTTCTAATAAAAATAATTAGCATTCAGTGAAAGCTTACTGTATGCTAAATGTTCAGTGCCATGGGAGCAACATTGCATTCAATGGCTCCATTTGCATTTCCCTCCCAGATGACAAAACCAAGTCTTAACAGAAGAGTTGACTTTCCCAAAGCCGATAGATAGCTTGAGGAGGCTGAGCAGAGAGTTAGTATTCTCTCCAATCTGGAACTGCTGCCATCTCTGCCGGGGTAGTTTCCTCTTCTCCTGGGGAAAAGGCTGCTATTTTAGTTATCTCCCCCCCGCCCCAGTGACGTGGGAGTTTGAGGAATCTTAACACAGACTTTCATTGGCTTAGGTTTGTGTAGCACAAATAAAGCTATCAGTTTAACTCTTGAAACATTTCCATCTTTTAATGTGTCAAACATGATCTTAAAACCAGAGAGGTTCATGATGTCCATGCAGTGTAATCCCTGATTAACCTGCCTAGGTGGAGGGATCTGTTGTAGTGATCATAATCAATTTCCTCCTCAGCCCACCTGGATGCACACTGGAGGAGATACACTGGACCCTTGACTTACGAACTCGTTTGGTTCCTGAGGGCTGGTTATAACTCAGTCAAGACAGCTGAGATCTGGATGTTTATCTGGGTACACACTATAGATAACAAGAGGCAGATGAATCGTCCACTAATCTAATTAACCCAAGTGTTTTGTGTGTCAGGCCGGTCATAACTTGAGGGTCCACTGTACCAAATTTCTCCAAGAGTTTGGCTTGCAAGTCCAGGGCTCTGCTCCACTGCTTCTCTAACTTCCTCTGAAGTCAAAAATCAAAACCAGAACCCCAGCATACTTCACATTTCTTTCAGTCTTCTGGATTAATAAAACTTTTTTTTTCAAGTTGCTTTGTAAGGAATAAATTTAAGAAGGCACAAAAGATTTTTATTTCTTAAATTTAAGGCATAAATATGCAACATTTAAAAATACAAATAAAAGGCTGACCTTTTAAATTTAATAGCAAAGCTCATAATTAATAACTGATTACAAATCATAGCCACTCAGATTTCCAGGAAAATAGAAAATTGTTGATGGAAAACTGTCCTGAGAATTATAGGGGTGCCTGCTGTCCCATTCAGAAAGGTTGCTTTCTATTTTTCAGGCAGGATATAAGGTCTCAGGAATATAAAGACACAACAATTCTGATTGTATTATTTTGGGAACCATTTTAATCCTTTTCTAACTGTAAGATAAAACTTTGATGTTCAATTGATTGTGCCTTCAGGAAACTACTTACCATTTCTTTAGCTATCAAATACTGTGTATATATACATATATTCATATATTTCTTAAATTATTAGTAAATTTTGCAATTTATCTTAAGGCCATTAAATAGAATCAGTATCCCTGTTTCTTCTTGCAGTTAAGATAGTACAGCTGCTGGTATTTGACATTTAGGAAATCTAAGACAATCAATGGTTAGGTTAAAGATCAAATGTCTTTTTAAAACAAAAGGAGAGCCAGACATGATGGCACATGCTTATAATCTCAGCAGGTGGAGGCAGGAGGATCGCTGTGAGTTCGAGGCCAGCCTGGGCTACATAGTGATTTTAAGGCCAGCCTCAATTACGTAGCAAGACCCTGTCTCAAAATATAAAAATTTTAAAAAGAGGAGGAGGAGAGCTGTATGTGTGACACAGCAGCAAGTTGTAGCAGATGTCACCACATAG